ACCTGAGCTAATATATTGGTTCAATTGCAGCAACATCAGCCAAAAAGCCCAAAATCACCCTTACCAAACAGGCTCTATGTAGTTACTTTTAACTAAAGACATGGTTTAAACAACATAATTCAGTTACTAAATTTGTCAAACAGGCACCCATTAGTCCAGTTGCCTCTCCTAATCCTCAAATCAATCCTGGAGTTGGATCAGCTTACAGCTTTACTCAATTATCATCATCTTCACCTGCCTATCCAGGAGCCTATGTATCTGTTCCATCTTCTTCCCCCACTCCATCAAGTAGCCAGAAGGAGTATGCGCTTCCCCAAAGACCTGGTGAACCCGAATGCCAACATTACATGAGAACAGGGGATTGTAAGTTTGGATCTTCATGCAGATATCATCATCCCCCAGAATGGGGTGGAACAAAAACAAGTCTTTTACTTAGCCCCATGGGTCTTCCACTACGCCCGGTAAGCCATATTAAATGTGCACTTTATTCAGTGAAGCATTGCTAATAAGGTGAAAAAAGAGTCTCTGTATATTCTCCTTGATGAGCTTTGCTGAGACTTTTTTTAAGAGCTAAATAACTGAGAAGTTATCAGATTTGGTCCAGTAGGTAAAAGAGGAAAAGTTTAAAATGCTGTTGTACTTTCTCTCTGAAATATCTGTGGCCTTGGTGGTGGTATTGGGGCGGGGGTAAATTCTCAAGACTCTTCTTGAATAACAACAGCAATAGTAATAATGGTAGTATGTTTAACTTCTACTTGCAATAGCCTAATTGTTGTTTGTATAGTCATTCCTTTATCTTTAACTTCTTCTTTCCATTTTGCTCATTTTAATTGATTTGTTTATGTGCTTAATGTATACCCAGTCTGCTCCTTTTCAAGCTTAAAAATTTAGTAATTTAAAAGTTACCTTAAAAATTATAAAATATATCTTACTTGAGTCTCTGCAAACATTAGGAGATGAAAAAGAAATTTTATACTCCATAGGTCCCATTTAAAATTATCTGTACGAGTAATATTTAGCTTGTAACATTACATACCATTTATATATTTAAGGACTGAATGAAAAAGTACTATTAAATGCTCAAACCAAATCATTAAATTATAAAAAAAGTCTAAAGAAATTAATTGAATAAAAAAGTAGTAGGTTCAGCCAGTGAATAGTATCCTAAGTAGAAATGGACAAAAGTAGTAATTCAATGTCTTCTCTTGTTCATGAAGTTGCTAGTTTATGTTGAAGTACTCACTGGGTGAAAAGGTCCTAATTATCGTACAATGTCTTGTATTGGTTGTTTGTCGAATATGCTTGATGATTCAATTGCTTTACTTTTTTATCATCTATTTGTCTTTATTTTTTTCTCTTAATTAGATTGTCTTGTCTTTAGGGTGCACCGATTTGTTCTCACTACTCACAAAATGGAATATGCAATTTCGGGCTTTCCTGCAAGTTTGATCATCCCATGGGAACACTCAATTACAGCCCGTCTGCATCGTCCCTTGCCGATGTACCAACTGCACCCTACCCTTTAATCGGCACTTCAGCTCTACTGCCTTCCTCAGGGTTGAGACCCGAACCCATTTCTGGATCATCTAACATCCGGACCCATATGAAGAGTGGTCCCACCCCCCGTTCCGGTGCTAAGCAGTCTGGTCATGCCCATGGAGGTGAGCTTTCCACATCAAGCTAAAACCGGGTTCTTCCTGTTTCTTTTTTTGCTCTTCAACAACCCATGGAGTATCCTTATATATATTTGTGTCATTCAGTCTCTCTTTAGGAAGCTTTCTTGCCTTGGTCAGCACACCTTAGCCATAGCTAGTAACATGGGCAATTGTGTTGTTCCATTTTGAATAAAAAAAAAACAGTCTTGAGAAGATCCCACAACCCTCAACAGATCCACCCTCTAGCTGGCTAGCTAAGCTTATGAATAGCACCAAGCAACCCCACACCCACTTCTGAACATGAAGAATTTGGATCAATGCTCATTTTTTGGAGCAGCCAGCTTTTGTTTATTTATGTGCAAGTCTCTTTTCAAAACGAAAAGGATTTAATTGCTCCCTGAGAAACTCAAAAGTGTTTATCTCCGTCTGACTCACTCTCCAGCTCTGGGGTGGCAGGCTACTTACAATTTGGCTTGGGAATGTGGGTTTCAAATTCTCCAGGGTTCTTCCCACCTTTTTTGTTCCGGAGCTTTGTTGTGCAAATGAAAAAGAAAAAAAGAATTGACGATTATGAGAAACTGCCAAGCAAGGCAAATGCAATGCTGCTACTATATTGGGCAAGATCCATACTTGTGATGTATGAATTAGTGTTGACTGATATATTTTGTCACTACATACACATCTTATGGGGAAAGTTCTTGGTGTTGTGTAAAAATTCATTTTGCACCATTCATTTCAAATTTAGTCATACATGACATCATTATTAGGAAAGTCTGATAGCCATTACACTTTTAACAGTTTGGAGATGAGAAATCTCACACTCCAGGGTCATAAACTCATAATGTGTAGACTTTCATTTTTAGACTTTAGTTTTTTACTCATCATGAAGGTGAAACCAAACCTTATCTCAAGCCCCATGATAAGCACTCAAAAGCCATTGCATATGGCAAATGTAGAGAGAATCGAGATATGTTGGTAACTATGGTGCATTACTGCATCTAAGTGGCTTAAGATGAATAGCATGATATGATCAGATGAGGTAGTAAATGGGAATAAAAAATAGCTTATAGTACCTTTCTTCTCTCCTATGTGGTTACTATGTTGATCCAAAGTGCATGAACACCATATAGGCATGGACCGGTCCCCGGCCTTCTTAATTTTTTTTTTTTGCTTTTCTAATTAACCCCCCCCCCCCCCCCCCCCCCCCAAAATACCCAGCCCAACCCGGGAAAAACAAAAAAAAATGAAAAAAAGGCCCGAACCAGGCCCGGCCGGTTCCTATTTTGGGTGAGCCGAGACCAACCCGTATAACCCCTGGGCCGGGCCACCAGGCCGGGCCGGTTCCAAACAGTGTCAGTCCGGGCCATGGGCCGGTCGGTCTGGAACCGGTCCACCACTAACACAATACGAAAACTTTGGTGATTTTCCTTCCACTATTCAATAGATAAGTATTGGGCTATTGGCATGCCCAAATCGAGATCACAAAATCGTGGCTCAAAAAACGAATAGAAAGTGTTATAGAGTGGCACAACAAATTTGAAGATGCAACTAGTCATGGACTGATCCGGGCCCGGTTCCCGGTCGGGCCCGAAAAAATTTCTGTGAGAACCGGGACCAGCTTGGTAGTTGACCGGTGCCGGTCCGGGCCCAGTTCTAATTTTTTTCTTGATTATTTTATCCCCTACCCCATCCCCACATCCCACAAACCCATCTGAAACACCCATTGCAGTCCATTTAAACCCATCCCAAAGCCCCAAACCAAAAAAAATGAAAAGGCCCGAACCGGGCCCGGAACCGGCCGGTCCGGTTCTCAATTTCCTAAGCCCGTACCCGCCGCCCGGTTTCCCTTCAAACCGGGCCTAGACCCGGTACCGGTACCCCGGTTCCCGGGTCGGGTTGGGCTGGGCCCAAACAGTACCGGGTCGGGCCCAAACAGTACCGGGTCGGGCCCAAACAGTACCGGGCCGGGCCGAGTGGCCCGAACCGGGTCCAAGCCTAGATGCAACAAGTTGAGTGCCTTGATGATGGTATAGTATTACCAGGAGCATGTAATGTGATGGAGTCTCTGTTTGAGTTTTCATCAAAATGTATTACATATTTTAAATGCATCCTAATTCTCAATTGTACTTCTTATTTGAAATAAATATACTTGAATTACTTTATATTATTGTGTACATCAATTCAATAATTCAATTCAATAAAATTCATTTGTAAACTTGTACTTCATATGTAGCACTTCTCAAATTAATTAATTGGTTACAATTTTACAAACTTATAACTTACAACTTGAAATTATTTTTGTAAAATCTAAAGGCTGTTTTTAAATTAAAATATGTAATATTAATATGTAAATTAATTAATTTGTTACAAACTTACAAGTTACAACTTATACACCTATTTTGTAACATTTGTAAATTATAAATCAAATCACTTTTCTAAGTAAAAATAGTTTTACTTAATTAAAAATTTAAAAACATTTTCCTTACACAATATGTATAATTTTCTAAATCATATCACTTTCCTTACACTTTTCTAAATCAAATCACTTTTCTAAGTAAATTATACACAATATGTATAATTTTCAAAAAAACAAATTAAAACATTTTGAAGTGGGAGATTGCTCCCAAACGGCTATATAGCCGTTGGGGCTTAGGGTGGGGGCAGGGGGGTCGCGGGGGTGGTGGGGTGGGGGTGGGGTTAAAAAAAATCTATAAATACATCTATTTTCTACCATTTTCTACACCTCTTCTCCATTCTCCAACTCTTCTCCATCTTCATCTTCTCTTATTATCCCACATTTCTACTTATACATCTACCATTTTAAAGATGGAAAGTAATTCTTCTATTATGCAAAACAACTTTGATAAGTGGAAGGACCCGAAGACCGGACTGTGGTGGGCAACTTGCAAGTGGTGCAAGAAAGAGTGTTGCTTGAGGCATTCACACGGAGTCGGGATGCCAATGAAACATATGAAGTCATGTGACAAAAGTAAAACAACAACCAACGGTGGCGGAAATCCCAATTGATATTTATTCGAAAATGTATTTCATATTGTTATTTTTTCCTCAATTTTCAATTGTACTTCCTATTTCAAATAAATGCACTTGAATTTTGTTTTTAATGACAATTATTATAATAATATAGTATAGAATATATAAAAAAAATTAAAAGGACCGGCCCGAACCGGGCCCGTGAACCGGGCGGGTGGCCCGGTCCGAAACGGACCCGGGGTTACCTGGGCCGGTTCCGAGCCTCCCAAACCGTGAACCGAGGCCCAGCCGGTTCATGGCCCGAACCGGGCCCGGCCCGAACCGAGTCCATGCCTACACAAGATACTCGATTCCAAAGGAGTGTTAAATAAAGGTTCGTACAACCTAAAGAGTGAAGCCCAAAAGCATGTTAGTTCCTCAAACGAGTCTTCATTTTGGGACGATGTGGTTTTTGTTATAACCAGAAGCATATTACTCACTGATTGTCATCGAACTACAAAAGCAAAAGATGTGAATAGTTATACTACGTATTTCACAAACATAATTATACACTACATTACATAAAGATTACATTAATATACAAAGAAGTCTAATATCTAATTATCTATATAATATACTCTAGACATGGAATTGTTTCCGAGGAGTTGGAGTTCGGTTCTCTAAGGATTGCAATCTTTGTTTTAGATGGAATACTTCGACCTGCACACAGATTAAATAAAGCTATCATAATAGGTCTTTTGTGACAAGGCACTGTCTTCATAAGGTCATGCCAATTCCTTTTATTAAGAATTAAAAAAAAAGTAAAATAAACATGGATGGAAAATAAGCTCTAACGGAGCTACATTTTGGTACAAATCATTTAAGTTGACCAGAGGCAATAAAAGAATTGATGCCTAAAGAGCCATGCACAAAACCAACCTTCAATGGTATTTTAACAATAATACATTGTAAGAAATAAAATAAAAAGATGAAAACAAAATTGTTGGACTTGTTTTTTAAGGCTAAAACTTGTGTGGGGTCTCACCCACCTCAACGGCTCAACCTGCGTGCCGGATCATTTTTCAACTAAAAGCTATCACTTGTAAAATGGAGCATTATGAGTGCTTTGAAAAATGATGACTTTTAGCCCAAAAGTGTTAGCTACAAGATGAAAATGATATGCGACAATGGGGCGAGATCTGTGGGATCATTTCACCTTTTCAGCTTTAATATGCGACAAAAGTGTTACTCTTTTTTAGCTTTATTTATGGTTGAGTACAAAAATAGAAAAGCTAGAAAGAGAGTTAGAAGGACGTGTGACATGAGGAAAAGGTGAGAAAAATCATGGATTTTGGATTTGATTGGTAGGAGAGAAAGAAAGGTATGATATCGTTGACAAAATATCATTCACTCAAGATGTGATGCAGAAGTGAAGGATGAAGGATATATTGGAAAATTTTCAAAAACACCTGTCCTCATCCATTTTCTCTACACAATACGAAAGAATTCAAGAGGTGGCATGGTATGCCCCAAATTCTTTCCTTGGGTCTAACTTTATGTTAGATATTTAAATTTATCCGTACATATCTATTTAATTGTAATTAGATAACTATTGTACTTAGTCAGAGTTGTTAGCATAGTTTTAGCTTAGATCCTAATTTTTAGGAATTAGTTGTTGTGGTGTATTCTATTTAAACTGGCAGTCTGAGAATAAAATAAATTATTCCGCCTCAATCAATTTTACTTTCATGGTATCAGAGCCGCTGATCTCTCAGCCACTAATCTGTCTCAGCCGCTACTCTTTCAGCCGCTGATCAATCATGAAATCTCCTTCCGGTAGCGCCGATTCAACCAGTGAGTCTAGTCACACTGGCGGTGCAAATCCCACATCTCAATCTGATTCTTTTCAGAATATTTCTATTACTTCTCATAAATTAAATGGGAGTAATTACCTTCAATGGTCTCAGTCTGTCAAATTGTTCGTTCAAGGACGGGGGAAATTTGGATATCTCACCGGATCCACAGCCAAGCCGGAGGAAGGAGAGGAAGGACTTGATCGATGGGAAGCTGAGAACTCCATGATCATGTCATGGCTTGTGAATTCGATGGATTCAGATGTTGGTCGTGCCTACTTGTTTCTTCCAAGTGCACATGAAATCTGGACCGCCGTCAAGGAAACATATTCAGACTTGGGAAATGTCAGTCAACAATTTGAGATCAAGAATCAATTAAATAAAACACGACAAGGAGACAAGAGTGTCACACAGTATTACACTGAACTGAGTACTCTGTGGCAAGAGTACGATCTGTTTTGCAACTACACCTGGAAATGCGCAGCAGATAGTGCATTATATTACAAGACCATCCAGAAGGAGAGGGTCTTTGACTTTCTGGCTGGACTAAACAAGGAACTTGATGAAGTTCGAGGTAGAGTACTTGGAAAAGACCCACTGCCCAGCACTCGGGAAGCATTTGCAGAAGTTAGGAGAGAAGAAAGTCGTAGGCATGTGATGCTTGATGCTGAAATTTCATCAAATGCTGAAACTATAGCGCTAGCCACTTTAAAAGCTTCAAAAGCTGATGAGAAGCCAGAATTGTCACCTCAACCATTTCAAAAGAAGGAGAACAGACCTGTTTGTGACTACTGTCACAAGATTGGGCATATCAAGGCTAAATGTTGGAAGTTATATGGCAAGCCAGCTAACTTTGCACCAACAAATAGGTCACAGCGAAATTCCAGAGGTGGTTACCAGGTCTCTTCAGAAGAATCTAATGCGTATCTATCCTCCAGTGACAACTCATCCATCAAGGAAAATTTAGATCAATTGTGTCGTATCCTGAGTACACATCAGTTTGCTAGTAACCTGAACCAAAGCCCATCTGATCCTTCATCTTCATTAGTTCAAAAAGGTACATATGCAGCAGCGTTTAACCTTAAATTAGATAAATCCGACCCTTGGATCATTGATTCAGGGGCCACCGATCATATGACTGGATCTTCATATATGTTTTCCACATATTTCCCTTGTTCTGGTCATCAAAAGGTTAAAATTGCAGATGGTTCCTTGTCTGCAATAGCTGGAAAAGGTTCTATTGTTGTCTCATCTTTACTCACTTTAACAAATGTCCTACATGTGCCTAATCTATCATGTAATTTGTTATCAGTCAGCAAAATAACCAGTGATTCTAATTGCCTTGTCAAATTTGTTTCTTCTGGGTGTGTTTTCCAGGAGCACAGCTCGGGGAAGGTGATTGGTAGTGCACATGAAAGTGGTGGACTCTACTATTTTACCTCAGAAAATCTTCAATGTAAACAAGTTCAGAATCCATGTTTCTCTAGTTACTTATCTTTAGAAAATGAAATAATGTTATGGCATTATAGATTAGGCCATCCTAGTTTTGGTTATTTGAAACATTTATTTCCTATATTATTCAAAAATAAAGATGTTGAAGTTTTTCAGTGTGAAATTTGCCAATTGGCTAAACATAAGAGATCTGTTTATCCCACTGTGAACTATAAACCATCCAAACCATTCTCCTTAATTCACAGTGACATTTGGGGACCATCTCGTGCCAAAAGTTATTCTGGGGCAAGGTGGTTCATTACATTTATAGATGATCACACACGAAAAACTTGGATTTATCTTCTTAAAGAAAAATCTGAAGCTGCTGAAACATTTAAAAGGTTTTATTCTATGATTCAAACTCAGTTTCAGTCTCAAATCCAAGTTCTTCGAACTGATAATGGAAAAGAGTATTTCAATAAAATTCTTGGAAATTTTTTGATCCAACAAGGCATAATCCACCATAGTTCTTGTGTTGATACACCTCAACAAAATGGAATTGCCGAAAGAAAAAATAGACATCTTTTAGAAGTTACTCGAGCTCTTATGTTTTCAATGAATGTTCAAAAACGTTTTTGGGGAGAGGCCTTACTTCATGCTGCTTATCTAATAAATAGGATGCCAAGCAAAATTCTAGGCTATCAAACCCCTTTAAAAACTCTACAAACATTCTTTCCTCATAATAAAATTTTTACTGAATTACCCCATAAGGTTTTTGGGTGCACTAGTTTTGTTCATAATCATGCTATTAATCACAGCAAATTGGATCCTAGAGCTATCAAATGCATATTTTTAGGTGTTTCAAACACTCAGAAAGGATATAAGTGTTTTGATGTGAGCTCGGGTAAAATGTTTGTTAGTATGGATGTCACATTCTTTGAAAATCAGCCTTTTTTTAATAAAACTTCTCTTCAGGGGGAGCATTTAGTAAATGATGAAGATAAGTTTTGGAAATGCAATGTACTTCCTCTCCCTGTTTTTAATGACCAAACTGAGTTAGCCAATGATAAACATACCATAACAAATAATTCTACTCCTCATAAAGAGTCTGCAACTATGAGAAACATGGCACCAACTACTGAACTTCGTGTTTACTCAAGAAGGAAAGAGAAAAAAAAGGTTATTCCACAACTCACTGATGCACAACCAATCCCTACCCCAAGTCCTGCTCCAGGTAATACACTTATTCTCCATCCAACTCTTGAGAAAAATCAGGTTTTTGATCACAATAATTTAAATCCTACCTCTGAGTCAGTTTTTGTGCCTAACCAAAGTGATCTCAATGAGCCAATAGCCATTAGAAAAGGAGTTAGAGAATGTACCAAACACCCAATCAGTAACTATGTGTCATATCATAACCTATCACCAAAGTTTAAAGCCTTCACCACTAGCATTACTGATGATGAAACTCCTAAAACGATACATGAAGCTCTAAGTATTCCAAAGTGGAGAGAGGCTGTTCTAGAAGAAATGAGGGCATTAGAAAAGAACCAAACTTGGGAATTGACAAAACTGCCACCCAACAAACATCTGGTTGATAGCAAATGGATTTTTACCATCAAATACAATTCTGATGGTACGATAGAAAGGTACAAAGCTAGACTTGTAGCTAGAGGGTTTACTCAAACATATGGGCTAGATTATGAAGAGACATTTGCTCCAGTTGCAAAGCTCAACACTGTCAGAATACTTCTTTCTTTAGCTGCAAATTTGGATTGGCCACTACTACAACTAGATGTTAAGAATGCGTTTCTTAACGGAGACTTGGAAGAAGAAGTATTTATGCAAGTTCCACCTGGATTTGACAGTAATACTACTGCAGGAAAGGTGTGCAAACTGAAGAAGGCCTTATATGGACTCAAACAATCTCCTAGGGCCTGGTTTGGAAGATTTGAAAAGACTGTAAAGAAGCGAGGGTACACTCAAGCACAATCAGATCACACTTTGTTCTACAAACATAGTGCAGAAGGTAAAGTGGCAGTACTAATTGTATATGTGGATGACATAGTATTGACAGGAGATGATCAGGGAGAATTGGCAGCATTAAAGAATTTCCTAGCTCAACAATTCGAGATAAAAGATTTAGGAAATCTCAAGTACTTTCTTGGTATGGAAGTCGCTAGATCCCAGAAAGGAATTATGATCTGTCAGAGGAAATATGTACTTGATTTGCTGAAAGAAACAGGTCTCCTTGGATGTAAACCTGTCTCAACTCCAATTGATCCAAATCAAAAATTTGGAAGAACTGGAAAAGAGGAAGTTGTGGACAAAACTAAGTATCAACAACTTGTTGGGAAGCTTATCTACTTAGCTCACACAAGACCTGACATAGCATTTGCAGTAAGCTTAGTCAGCCAGTTCATGCATAACCCAACTGAAGAACATGTTAGAGCTGTCTACAGAATTATCCACTATCTTAAAGGTAGCCCTGGAAAAGGAATTTTGTTCAGGAAAACTCAAAACAGACAAGTTGAGGTGTATACAGATGCTGACTATGCTGGCAGTAGTATTGATAGAAGATCTACATCAGCTTATTGTACTTTTGTATGGGGGAACCTGGTCACGTGGAGAAGCAAGAAACAACATGTTGTATCAAGGAGTAGTGCAGAAGCTGAATTTAGAGCAATGGCACAAGGGATCTGTGAAGTCATATGGGTAAGACGCATGCTGAACGAGTTGAAGATGCCATTAGAAAAGCCCATGAGGTTATATTGTGATAACAAGTCTGCCATTAGCATAGCACATAATCCAGTGCAACATGACAGAACTAAACATGTGGAAGTTGATCGGAATTTTATCAAGGAAAAACTCGAGGGTGGAGAAATATGCATACCTTATGTGCCAACAACTGAGCAACTAGCAGATGTACTAACTAAAGGGCTCTTCAAGCAAATGTTTGAAGAAATTTTAGTCAAGCTGGGCATGATTGATATCTTTGCTCCAGCTTGAGGGGGAGTGTTAGATATTTAAATTTATCCGTACATATCTATTTAATTGTAATTAGATAACTATTGTACTTAGTCAGAGTTGTTAGCATAGTTTTAGCTTAGATCCTAATTTTTAGGAATTAGTTGTTGTGGTGTATTCTATTTAAACTGGCAGTCTGAGAATAAAATAAATTATTCCGCCTCAATCAATTTTACTTTCAATTTGCTTTCGGAACAAGAAAGTATTGACTTTCTCTCCATTTTCTCTCCTTATTTTCTACGTTTTTCCTTTTAACCAAACAGAGCATTATTGATCAACATCAACTGATGCAGCTAGCAAAAAAATACTCCCTCCATATCAGTTTATTTGTCCCGGTTTGATTTTTGGGCCGTATCAAATTAATTGTCTCATTTCCTTTTTGGAAAGAAACTCACCCAAAAAGCAACTACAGTACCGCTACAATACCAAAAATCTCTTACTTTTTATAAAGCACACATTAATTATCTTAAACTACGTGAAAAGGCAAATGGGACATATAAATTGATACAGAGGGAGTATTGTTTAGTGGATAAGAAAACACATGTAGACACCAAACGGCACTAAGACTTATGACAAGGATGGTTAATATAGCGAGAAACCAGATTTATACCTGTAGTTGGAAAGCTCTGGCCCTCTCACCAGCAAGAACTCCCCTAGTTGAATGCAGTTCCTAAAATGTGATCCAAATTACAATTACTCGATGTATTTAGCATCTTCAAAAGAAAGGAAGCACTTTGAGTGCTAAACGAATTTCAAAATAAGAGCCTATATGGTACCTTTTGAGTATCATCTAAAACTGCCTTGAGAAAAGCAACATCATGCTCCAGCCTAACATTATCAGAGTGAACAATATTGGACAAGCTGTTAGACTCTTCCTGTGCAGATTCTACACCCGCCAGCTTCTCTTTCAGCAACTCTATCTCCTTAGTAGCATCTGCGAGCTTTCTCTCTATCTCCAGTTTACTCTCAAGGGCAGAGGAGAAACTCTTATCTGCCGCTTCACGACTGGCCAATGCTGCTGCCAGCTGTGATTCAAGAAGTCCGTTCTTCCTCAACAAGGCTGTTAGTTTTGCTTCAAATGATTGATAGAGACCGATTGGATCTGATACCCTGACTTTGTCATCACCTTCTTGAAAGACAATACCGTCGCTGTCTAGTGGAAAGTTTGTGCTCCCTTGCTTTCTGTGAGTAACCATATCTCCCCCAGTGGATTTGGGTACAGTGGGAACTTCTTCAGAAACAGTTTCCCCATCGAACCGTTCAAGTCCTTTGTCAAGTTCACTTGTTTCACGCTCTATTATTACCTGTAACACAAATCATATATAAAAGGACACAGAAATATGTGAGTGTTAATGTATACCTTCTCCGAGTCTCTCGTTGCCACCTCTATTTTTCTGTGCAACCTATACTAGTGCTTTGTATTGACGAAAAGAGAAGAGAAAATGAGCGGAAAACGGGTACACTTTCAAGTTGTTTGGACGGAGAGAAATAGGAGAGAAATGGGAGAGAGAGAAATAGTATGTGGCTTAAAGACACACCCTCCCTAAAGGATTGCCAACTTTGCTTTTTGGGTCAAAGCATCTCAATTTTAACCAATGTCTTGTACGTAGTAATTTTTTAAATTTTAACAAAGAATATGATTAATATTTTCACATTCAAATATATTTTGCATCAAATATACTATGTATGTTATTGGTCAAAGTTCAACGAACCTGACCAAAAAATCAATCTTGGCAAACCTTTTAGGTACGGATGTAGTATTTATCAACTTTAATGTCTTTACCTAATTTAACGTAACAAGCTTGTGTCTTTTCAACTATTTAATGTGGCCGATTACTCTTTTAACTCCTATCCTAAAAATGTCATTACCATAAAAGCATAAGACAATTGGTGGGCCTCATCAGTTTTTTCTTTCTTCCTCCACTTTAGTCCTTACCCAGACGACTAAAAGAATCTCCCGCTCTTCTTCCAAAATTATACTACCTCTGTCCCATTTATGTGTCTCATTTGAATTTGGCACAATTATTAATAAAGTGGTTGAAAAGATAAAAGTTGTGGTTGAGATTTGAATATAATAAAGTGAAATGTTGTAGACCACATAATTCTTTCCAAAAAGGGAAATGTGACATTTATTATGGGACAACCCAAAAAGGGAAGTAAGACAGGTAAAATGGGACGGAGGGAGTACTAAACAAATGGTTATACTCAGCACCCCTACATGAAATAATTTACTCCCTCCGTCCCTGAAAATTGTTCCCGGTTTCCTTTTTGGGCCGTCCCAAAAAATTGTCCCACTTTCCCCTTTTGGAAAGTTTTTTGTGGCTACAATTCATTTACCTTTTTCTTACTCAACCACAACCATACATTTCCACTTTATTCCCACTTTCTTAAACTCCGTTCCAAGTCAATGCGGGAACAATTTTCCGGGACGGAGGGAGTAATAATCATTTCCCAAGGAACTCTAATGGCTTAAAAAGTACTCACAAGCAAACACCTCTGCTCAAATTAATAATACTAGGAATATAACTTCAAAGCAAACGAAGCACTGGACACCTCCACCTTTTTACCTGTAAAGAACTTTCATTCTCTGAGCTCTTTGGAATCTTCAAGCTGGTTTCTCCCTCATTGTAAAACTGCTTGCGAAGTGAAACGTTGCCCGAAACAGAATTCGGGTCACTGAGCAAAGACTCTGACAGTGACTTTCTACCAGAGCCACCATGTTCAGCTGCAGATGTTGGATGCCGTTTAGAAGCTGTTTCACAATTGCTTTTAGATACATTATTACATGGTTGAGTAGCAGACAAAATGGAGGAAAGGCGGTTTCCAAAATGCAAATTTCCAGCAACTTTACTTAATGCTGATTTCCGCCCCATTGAAGATTCGTTCTTTTCAATCATTAGCACTTCAACCTTTGGAACAAAGCTTCAAATAGTGAACACAAAGGCTATAATATTCCATTGGCTAGAGAATAATATAGATATAATTATGTTTCACCTGATTAGAAGGTTCCTTCCTGAAACCACCAAAGGCTACAAGGAAATCCCTTTCCTTGTGCTGCACCAGTACTAGGCTGAAACCCTTTAGAATTTAAACAAGCAGTATTCAGTTTCCGAGACTGCCCACTATGACTAAACAGTAATAATGAATATACACAATAAGTAGTTTAATTTAACCTTGTTGGTGATGATAGATGATGGAAGTGATGCAACAACAACAGACCATTCAAGCTTTAGAACATCAAAAATCAAAGTCTCAGCATGACCTGAAAAGCAAACATTTATAACTGCAAACTGAGAGCATGTTTCATAACAGCAAGAATTTGGCTGAAGCAGTGGTGTTATGGCTGATGCTGATGAAATTATTGAATTATAGAAAAAAATCAAAATATATCCCCTCATTGACCATTATTGCTCCACTTTCTTTTGACAATTTTCCTACTTTTTCATCACAAAAAGATATGCTTCTTCTGTCCCTAAAAAAATACCCACTTTAACTGAGCACGGCGGTTTAATAAAATGAAACATACTAACTGAGACTTAATTAGGTGAGAGAAATCATGACCCCCACAATATCTTCTTAAAAGAAAATGAGAGATACTTTTTAGACCAAAATAATAGGGAAAGGTGAAGACTATTTCGAGACAGATAGAATATCGAGTATGTATTTTTACTTTACCAGTTTCTCTCTTCTTTTTCTGATTTTTTTTTATCTTTTTTGTCTGCTTTTTCTACACTATTCACTACAATAAGTTTAATCTTAATTCCCTTTAACTTCCATGAAAACACTGAAGGAGCGATCACGAGTGAACAAGGGGTTTAGTTTATTGATACAATAAGGGAAAATGTGTGATAAAAGCTAAAGCATTCATCTTTAATCACTTAACTTTAGCCAAAAAATGTTCCTCCAGCTTTATCTCTTTCATTATTAAGTGCGTAGTATTAACTATTAACCACTTCAGCGAGCGCAATTCATTAAATTACTCCTATGTCCAATACTCCCTCCGGTCCTAAATAATCTTCATGGTTTGACTTTACGGTATTTAAGAAAGTTTAATTTTTTGTTTTGACTTTCCCACCATACCCCTACAAAAAGTAGATAAAGTGTAGTGGGAGAGAGAAAGTGGGTGTAAAGTAGGTAATAAAGTAAGAGCATCTCCAATGCTAAAACGTTAACAGTGCATACGTGGCATGAAAAATAACCAATTAAAAAACAATAAATACAATATCTCTCTCCTTATTTGAAGGATCTTAAATCATTTTGGTAAGTTTTTCTTCACAATGTCAAGCACAATGTCTAAATGTAGACATTGTGGTTGACATTGTAGACAAAAACTTACTATAAACACATAAGACAGTGGAAAGAAGGAGAGAGATATTGTATTTATTGTTTTTTAATTGGTTATTTCTCATGCCACGTATGCACCGTTAACGTTTTAGCATTAGAGATGCTCTAAGGGTATAAAGGTAACTTTATAGTAAAAAGTTGCCAAAAATAGAAGTGTGAAGTTTATTTTGGACCTACCCAAAAAGGAAAGTGTGAAGTTTATTTAGGACCGGAGGGAGTATGTAAGATACTTTTGGGTTAGAAAAATTTTTAAGAAAATAAAAGATATAGTTGTTCTTTTACAATTGTAATCTCCAAAAAGTGAGAAAAGGTAGTATTGTGTCCACAAAAATTAAAAAGGTGAAATGATAAATAAAGGGATAAAATAGGAAAGTAAAAAGTTAATAGAGTTCAATTTCAGAAAGTGTTCATATTTTTGGGACAGCCAATAAAAGAAAGTTTAACTTAACAAAATGGGAATATGGGATAGAGGGAGTAACATCATTTCAGCCATATAAGCAAGTGAAAAACTATTTATTCAACAAATAAGCAGAATAGGCCGAGTATGGCCATTCAAGGGAACTAAAGTAGTAGCTATAATTCTTTGCAAAGGTGATACATACGCTTCTTCTTGCTACCTCCTCCAGCAATATACCATTTAGTTCCACATAGAACTCCACAACAACCAGCTCTTGGTGATGGGTGGAATCCGCGTACTTTAACTCTTGACCACACCATCTGTATAAAGAAAATGGTCAACACTAGGATTTCTTAATACATTCTGGGGGTATTCAACAGACTTGCAGTATCTGCAAAAAAGTAACTTGGAAACATGATCCACCAACCGTCTCAAAGTCGAGTGAATGCAAATCATTCAATGTTCTAGATTTTGATGTTCCGCCAAAAACCAAAAGCAGCTTATCATCATATAGAGTGATAACATGGTTAGATCTTGCTGGAGGAACTGCTCCCCTATAATCATCGGAAAAGATTGGGAAAAAGTAAAAAAAACTGATCCAAAACTGATAAACAAGTAAATGAAGTCCATTTGTCATTACTCACGTGCAATGGAGTGGAAGCCACGTCAAAGATTTTAGATCAAACATATATAGATCATTCAGTTTCCTCCTCTTACTGTCTTCACCCCCAAACAATATCAAAACCGAACTTGCTCTGACCACTGTATGACCACTGCGCGCAAGCTGCCAATGGTACTAGTTGAATAAGTCTATTGATTTTTAGAATTAATGAACCATGGTATAGTGAATTAGTGATGCAGATACAACAAGACATGGGTCAACAGTGTGATATTTAGATCAAACTAATCCATTGATACAAATAGTTCAAACTGCCAATAGCACTAGTTGTAATAAGTCTATTTTCAGAACTCATGAACCTTCGGACAGTCAAGCTGATACTAATCATGGGCCAACGGTTTGATGTTGAAAGGAAAACTTAAAGTTTTAGATCAAACTAATTCATAAATAGTCTAATATGAACTGTCAAACAGTTCTGGGTAGCGTCCAAAAAATGCATTGTTCAAATGGGGATAGAACACCAAGCAGATCTGGATTCTGGGTTTCTAGATTTAGCTGGATGCATGGAAAATGTTCTTTATACCAATACTGACAAAATCTAATATTTGTATCTGGGAAAGAAAGAAAAGGAAGAAAGGAAGAAAGGAAGAAAGGGAGAGAGAGAGAGAGAGAGGGAGAGAGAGAGAGAGAGAGAGAGAGAGAGAGAGAGAGAGAGAGAGAGAGAGAGAGAGAGAGAGAGAGGGAGAGGGGGAGAGGGGGGGGGGGAAGAAAGAGAAAGAAAGAAAGAAAAGAAAAGAAAAGAAAAGAAAAGAAAAGAAAAGAAAAGAAAAGAAAAGAAAAGAAAGGAAGGGAAGGGAGGGGAGGGGAGGGGGAGGGGAGGGGAGGGGAGGGGAGGGGAGGGGAGGGGAGGGGAGGGGAGGGAGGGAGGGAGGCAACAAGAATACATGTATGAACAAAAAACCAGGCTCAGCATGGGAGATGTATTAAAAAAGGATAAGTTTAGCATGAGGTGCTGATACGGTTGAAGCAAACTTCCTATGGAGTAAGCTGTATTGGTAGCTTCTATATTCTAGGATAGTAATAATTTTGATGATGCAGTAGCACAGTACTCTGTCACAATACTTTCCATCATTTGCAATGGAGCCAAAGACTCACTATTTTTTGGCTTGGGAATGTGATGGAATAGAGCAAGATGGCTTATTAAACTGTCTGTGCTTCTTTGTTATGAAGCAACAGTCAGTCCATGCAATTTTCGATGCGATTTTCACTATGGGTCATCCTGAAACAGTCTCTTTGTGCTTTAGCACAGAGGTAAGACTGCATACATCCGACCCCCCTACCCCCACCGAAGGCGTGGGAGCCTTTGTGGCACTGGGATATTGATGATGATGATGATGAGTACTCTGTCACAATACAAATCATGCATGACAGGACGTTTGGTATATGAAGAGAATCAAGAGATATATACTTCTCCAGCTCTTCATATGGAATTGTGATGCAGCGATTTTGTGTAGGATCAGGTGATGCTTTACTTGATAAATTAACTCTCCGAGTGGTTAAAGACTCGTCATAGGTAGTGGAAAATAGATTGTTATGATCACACTTGGTATTTAAGTACGTAATTCAAAAGAAAGTTGTCCCAAGATTCCTGATGGTATTAAAGGTCGATTTATTGATGTGACGTGGACCCAAGGGGGTTACAATTTTAATCCTGATAAGACTCGAGTATATACTTCGAAAATGCCAAATCAAAGTGGGCGATAAAGTAGATGGAAGACATGAAAGTAAACGTATCATTTAGAAATTGCCTAGACAAGATATGCATTATTCATAACCGTAGATGGAAGATCCGTAGATCTGGTCTTCAACCCATTAGGAGGACCATCACAAATGAATGTATGACGGGTTTCTGAATGTTCACATGGGCTAATGGGCTAACAAAAAATGCTCTGAATATTTTTGTTCGTTTCTTCGAGAACTACGACCATTAGGTATAGAGCTAAATCATATCCTTGAATATGAAAAGAACTTCAAATTCATAGGCAGGAAATCTGAATGTAATCAGAAAAATTATAAGTTTTTCTTCAATGTTGGATCGATATAAACATCAATATATAAGAGCTTGGACCACTAAACCCTTGTTGAATAGTGAAATAGCCAAGAGGTATTAAAACCAAATATTTTCTTAGTAAAAATCAACCACAAAAACATGGAATAATTTGTGGGGGAAAATTGGGCCTGTAAAAGTGGAATTGCGCTTGTGTGAATTAAGAAGTAATAGGAGATAAAAAACAGATTATGGAGGTAGCAACTGCGCTATATCAACTTGCATACCGACTAACCCACTAGTGGTATTTAAAATGACTTCCTAGTTATATTGAGAATATTTTAGATGTACCTCTTAAAGAGTTAGATGGCTGTGAATATTGTGATGTGTGATTTGATCAAAACTTTGATTTTACAAATTCAGAACAAGAAGCTTTCCTCCCAACCAATCCAAGTATGATGCCTAGACCTGACATGTCGATTATTAAGCGGAGCATAAAGCTCAGAATTGGGATGTAGTAAATACATTCAAACAAAGAAAAAGGGAGTTGATTCGTTGTCAATTCGCACGTTAATCGGAAGGAACTCGCACATGTACTGACATGATCCCAGACTCCTAATTTCACGCATTTGCATGATAAATATGAATATATCACATCAAAAAAGGAAGCAAAATCAAGCACATGTGCAAATATTAAGATGTGGGAAACGAAGCATTAAGAAAAGAAGATTAAGAAGGGAATTAAGGTAAATGTGGAGAAATAACAATAAAATAAGTTAAATGAAGATACAGACCTCCATTATAGATGGAAAAAATATTTACGTGAAATCAAATTGTTTTCCCTTTGGGGGGGGGGGGGGGGTGAAATGCACTTATCCAAGGATGAGAGAAAATTACCGGCACATCACCCTTAGATTCCATAAGTGACCAGCATTCAGTTTCAGTGTCAAATGCCCACACTACAAAAGCAAAGAAGGTAAACACATATATAATTGTCATAGGGCACAGTTTTAAACATTACAAAGCAGGTCAATGACCTGAAACTTTGTCACATGCAGGGTCAGTTTTCCCTCCAACCAGAAGCACTTTCTTCCCCCAGGGAACCTGAGAAATGAAGTACATTTTATTGAACAAATTGTTTGTTAAGAACACAACATAAATTATGTCTTGCTTGGTGCACAAGTACATTAGTATATATCTAGGGATGTCTGAGGATACAGATATATACAAGAGAATGGCCCTTGCATGCCGGGATTTTCAGCGGGAGATTGGTTGGTGAAAGAAAAAGCTTTGATGACATTGTGGTCCAGGAGAATCTATCAAAGTTTAACACCTGGGAAATTGAATTCAAGAAAACCGATCAATAAACGAACTGTAATATGACTTTCTTTGTAAAGAGTTGCAATTATAAAATTGGTTATTACCCAGTTTCCTTTCGGGTTTTATCAAATTAATTGTCCCATTTCCCACTTTGGAAAGAAATCTCCCCTAAAAGCAGCTACACTACTAAAAAAAACTCTATCTTAAACAACGTGAGAAAGCAAATGGGACAGTTATTTTTATACGGAGGTAGTAAAAGCTAGTGAATACTTTACCTGCACATCTTCTAATAGTCCACTCCCAGATTCACCACCAACTACTACCATTTTGTTCCCAATAACAGCTGCACTGTGCTGTAAAAAAAGTGTGTTGCTTCATGAAGAATATATCCTTAAAATTGAAGTAAATACACTTGATGCAAATAAACTACATTGAACCGAGGTATAGGCTTCTCTCCAGAGATAGAAAGGACCATCCAATTCTCAGAGCTCCCTGAAGCGCCATCATTAAACTCTGATACACCAGTGGAATGGTGGCAGCCACTATCATCGGATTCATTTATGCTGTTTCCCACAGCTTCACCCTGTCATATTTGAAGAGATTCATATTTGGATGTTTGTTTTTCCAAAATTGTACTTTTTCCATTTCTAAATGTTTTACTCCTTTCTTTTAATCTGTCTCCGATAGATCTTCGTGTTTTCTTTTTTATAAACTTTTACCACAACTTTTCCTTCTTTTTTCTACTTTTTTTCCTTTTTTAAATCTTTTCACAAGGGATGAACCACATTCCTAAAAATTGATGCACAGCCAAATGATGAAGAACCAATGGAGACAGAGGAGTGCAAAGTAAAAGAAAGGGATACATCTTACCCTTGGGCTGCTAAGACGTTTAGGGTTCCTGATGGGGCTTTTAGTTCCCTGAGCAGCATCTGATAGTTGAACTTTCAATCTGATCGCATATCAAGAGATATTAGACAAATATAAATCTGATGTTCATATTTCTGAATTTTGACTGTATGAAAGCGGTTTTGTAAGTACTTTTGGTTATACTGCTGGAATATAGTGCAGATTACATGGCACATATGTGAAGACTACCGAGGCATTGTGGACATGCCTACCCAGCAATTAGCATTGGTTGTTCCTAATTCCTAAAGTATAACTAGTTGCCAGTCTAATGGGATTCTAATATATTAACATATTGGATTCAACAGCTCCTCGTTGTTAATTACGTAGTACTTCCCAAGGTAGGTGGGTAAATGTTAAGGCGCGTGTGACGATATTCCCCAGGAAGGCAAAATGTGTTTGGTGTGGTGAGAAAAAATGTGTTGAAAGTGAATTACTGTACATGGAAAGTAGCCTTGATTCATCAAACCAATAATATTCATCAAACTTTCAAACAATTATTTAGCAGAAACGAACTATACAGAATCATGTTTCAGCTTCTGCCAATCAACTTTACAGAAAGGCTCTAATATCTTGGCAAACAAAAAGCTATCTTTCCAGCCAATTATTCCACTGCAAACAGGTTAAGATGGACCCCTAAGAGCATCTCTCACTCAAGCTCGAGTTCTAAGGGCTCAAAAAAGAAGGTTACAAAGATTAAAAACACATAATAATTGGACTAGGAAAAAAAATACCTCCCGAGCTTTGTCCGCCTTTTTGAAAGACCAAACATGTTGTTAACTCCCATTTTCACTGATAATACACTCTCAAATCTACATAAAAAGGAAAAAGCAAACGATATTGTCTTATTCCAAGTAATCATCACAGCTGAGAAACTTAAAAGCAAAAACACACACAGAAGTGAAAAACCGACTAAACAAAAAACTCGTTTGCATTGTCAACAAAGGAGTCAAACTAGAAACGCAAGCGAATATATGGTCAGATATCACGCATAAACCGGCACACATATGAAGATGCGCATTCTCCTTAAACAAACAACTGTACAGCTAGGGTTTCACTCACACTGAAGAAGGATGAAGAAGAGGAAGAAGACGGTGGAGTCTAAAGCTGGCCGGCCGATAGCTTCTTCAGGCAACCGTTCATATCATTGCCGTGACGAGTTTTCAGCTCAAATGTAGATTGTGAGCTTGATTTTTGGACATACATACAGACATTTTGTATCTATATGTGCTCGTGAATGTACAGCAGAAGCAGCTGAAGCAGAAGGATGGGTGAGATGAAGGGTCTGAGTTCCAGACAGTGACTGACGCCGTGAAGGGAAGGTGACGGAGTGAATGACGGGGAGTGCATACGTTAACATTTTTTTGTTTGTTTGTTAGAGTCTCAGATGTAACGGAGGAAGGAGGGCCGTTAGATTCATGATACGATTAATGTTCGGTGGCGAAGAGGCGCATTTATGGATCGGGTGTGGCCAAATGGACCACAAGGGCCCACATTTTCCTTGGGAATTGTTGGTATTGGGGATCCGGATCTTTCCCCCTTTTTGTGTGTCAGAAAAGATCATATTTGGATTTTTGGACTTCTGGGTTGGGCCTTAAAATTTTCCAATAGCCCTTCATGCAAGCCTACTTGTTTCTTGTCTACTTTTGTAGTGTTAATAATCATATTTGCATCCCCCATATTTGGTCAGATTTTTTATGTGTTTAAGCTTGAAAAAAGTATTTGTACACACTTTTTTGTACATCTCTTCTTACAAATGTATGCGAGCAACTATTTTTTATTTGTGTACAAAAAATTGTGTGTATAAGAAGAATTTTTGTTTAAGGCTTTCTCACTTTTCTCAAGTACAACACATCCGTTGACCGGTTAAAATCTCAATGAATGACATCAGAAGTTGATCAAGCATTAATATGTAGTTTGTACAACATTATTTTCTCTATCCATTATCCATCGTTATACATATTTTCATAATTTTATGAAAGTACAACTCGTGCGTAATCTCATAGAATTTCAATAATTGTATGCCCATATTGATGCATGCATTTAAATTATTTTTTCACTTTTTCACTTGATGTTGCAAGATTGCAATTGGTATCATTAAAGAACATGAATCTCTTGCAAACAATCAAAAGGAGACAGGGAACGAATCGCATGTTATTCAAAATTATTGTAAGGAATACGAGTACTTTACAAATCACTATATATAAAGTCTAAATTTTGAAATTTATGTAATAGCTATGAGCTTTTCATAGCTGTTGAACACTATGAAGCCGTTTGGAGCCCTAAAAATGGGCTGAAAATCCAAAAATGTAGCCAAACACATGTCAAATGGGCTGTTTGAGTTGGAAGTTATTAATGCACTGTTGCACACCTATAGTACTTCTGTACCCCTTTTTAAGCCTAATAGATCACTCGGCCATTGCTTTGTCCTTCCAGATTGACGATGAGAAGCTCTTCATATTCATCTAAAGGTACGTACGTTGAGCTTGCTTCTATCTTCTTCTTCTTCTTCTTCTTCTTCAGTTGTGCGCTACCCTCTATTGTTGGAATGAATTGGAGCAAGATAATTAATTACTACTCCGCTGCAGGAAATTATTACACAAGTAAAACCAACTGCAAGAATTTACTCAAATAGAGAAGAAGTTTATGGAACTATAATTTCTTATGAGAAAAGAAAAGAGAGATTTAAATCCTTTGACAGAGGAAGATCAGATGGAGGTTGTTTATAGGTTAACTACTTGTCTCATTTTATCAATGGGATAATTCTTTCCCATTTATGGTTCTCAGTTTATCCACTATTTTCTCATGTAGTTCTGCCACAAAATTAGTTGATTTATTGTCTGAGCTTAATGAAGCACTTGAGGAGCTTGATAGCAAAGTTCATCCATTTTGAGCAAGGTACTACCTCATTATCTAACAACTCTGGCATTTGCTCCTCCAATATTTCAATTTAGCAATATATGACATTTTAGACACCATTGCTGGTGAAACTAATTAAGAATGATGTCTTAAGAAGTTCCACTGTAGACAAACAACTAGTTTCTCAAGTATTGTATTTGTGTATTGATGGATAGTTTCTTTAGATGATATATATTACTATCATGATTACTATTATCAATATTGTTAGGATTTAGAATGTTGTATATAGTGACGTGCATTGTCTTTAAATGTTGCAGGGTAACTAAGTGGGTAAATTAAGTATGTTACTATATATAAACAGTATAGTGATTATTGTTTATCAGTAATTTTATAGAGCATGTGATGTGCTCCTTAAGGCACGTGAGTCCGATCAGAAGCCCGCATACGTGAGTCCAATTAGAAGTCCTAATAAGTATAGATCTCATTAAACAATCCGGTTGCCGCGTCACTTTAAATTATTAGGTTTTATCATTATTATATTACTCCGTTTTAGGTTATTAGAACATGAACATGTGTATTCTTGTAAAACCATTCTGATCCTTCATCTCTATACACACGTAAACAAGATAATCGGTATTTGTACAATACTGGAAGCTTGAAAGGTATGTATTATTCTTTTATATTTCATTCAACCTTTTTTTCATCGTAATTCAATATTTTTTTGCAATATAATTCAATCTTTTATTTTTAGAAACTAAATAATTCATTAAAACGAGTAAATCTTAATATTTATGCAAATTCTTCGTGAAAATTCTAATGTAAATTTATAATACGTAGTAGAAAATATTAAACACTCGTTGATAGAGTATATAGACTCGGACCCCCGGGTCTCACGACTATTGGGCCCGGACAGCGGCCCACATACGCTCAGTAGATAGCATTTATCTCATTGTACACTCTATTTTATTCATGTATATCCATTAGAATAGATTAGATACCATTTATTAACCATTTATTGGCCTTTTATTGTAGTTGGGCCTTCCAGGCCCAAGCGTGGAAGCCCAGCCCACTTTTCTCCTATAAATACTCCCTATGGGAGCCATGTAAAGGGTGGTTGATTGGATGGTTGATTGGAATTCATTATACATATCACTTTATCTCTCTAGCCCTCACTTCTCTCTAGAATTAATACTCTATCATTTGGTGCTTTCATTGAGAGCTAGAATACATCAAGTGAGATCCTCCCAACCAATAATACGTTGCATTCATAAATGATGTATCACGTCGTCCAACATGCCTCATCGGCATACGAGCAAAATGATGTCATTTAGATACACACATCCAACATGGTGCCACCCCTCACCATGCTATCATAGTATCATGCCACGTCTGAGGCAACCAACGGCCAAGAACGTGCAAAGCAAATGACAACAAAAGGGAAGTGCAGGCTACGGCCAATCCCATCACCCAGCAGGTCCTTCGTGGAAATTCAAGCCATGAGCGACGGCCAAACTCAGACCAAAAAAGGGGGAGCTGTCCTTCGTCCAACAGTCCTCCTCGGCCCAAGGGGGTCCTCGCTTTTCCGCAGGAGGCTCCTCCTCGGCCAAAGACAACGGCTCAATAGTACACCGGCCAGGTAAACACACATCGGCCGCAACACTATCAGCCGGCACCCCATCGGCCGGCGACATCATCGGTCGGCACCCCATCAGCCTGCTCCTCATCGGCCGGCACTGCATCGGCACACCGCATCAGCCGGCTCCTCATCGACCGACACCGCATCGGCCAACACACTTCGGCCGGCATCCACCGCCGGCTTGCAGCACATCGGCCACACATAACGGCCAAGCAAAGCTTCACTTTGTTCTGTCAGCAGAGAGGGAGAGCGGGGGACTTAGCGCTCCCCTCCACCATCGAAAAAGCACAAATTCAAAATTTTTGCAAGGATTGCCACACGCACCGACGACATCATCATATCACATACATATTCAGTTGCCACATCGGCCAGCACACATACATAGCTCCCCGGCCTCAAGACCGGTGGTGATGAGGCCTTCGGCTGAGGATTCTCCCACAGGGTTGCCTCGGCCAGGGCTCGCCAATGGGATCGGATCACCGGATTGGGAATCCGGGTTAGGCGCTTCGGCGACGACAGCGGTTTACTCACCAGACGATGACAGATCAGCACACAGTTCTACTCTCTTTCGCCTCGAGTACTCTCGACTCAGAGAGTGGGGGACTCCTGATAGAGTATATAGACTCGGACCCCCGGGTCTCACGACTAACTATTGGGCCCGGACAGCGGCCCACATATGCTCAATAGATAGCATTTATCTCATTGTACACTCTATTTTATTCATGTATATCCATTAGAATAGATTAGATACCATTTATTAACCATTTATTGGTCTTTTATTGTAGTTGGGCCTTCCAGGCCCTATGGGAGCCATGTAAAGGATGGTTGATTGGATGGTTGATTGGAATTCATTATACATATCACTTTATCTCTCTAGCTCTCACTTCTCTCTAGAATTAATACTCTATCACTCGTTGTTCAACTGGTTCTTTGCAGCGTCGTCAGAATTCATAAAAGTTGTCCATGGATGAGGAGAGCATGTTACCTGCAGATGTGGATATTCTGAATATGTCATCATCAAATTTACAAAATAATGAAGGTTTACAATCTTGATTTTGGTTTAATATATGCTACTGTATTAATTATATTTATTGTTATATAATTTATATATAAGAACAAATTTTCTCTTTGTAGTCACTGTGAATGCGATTAGTTTCAGAATATTTATTTTGATAATATTAATTCCAATCCAAAACTATGTTTCAGCCCAAGCTAGCATAGATGCTTTTAGCCCCTATTTCGTACATATGATGTTTTTAATTGAAAAAAATCCGATATAGTCTATTCTCTTTAAGTCTAACCTAGTCTTTATTATTTTGATCCAGAATTAAAAAGTAGTAAAATGTACATATACTAAATTTTTACCAATTCAGAATAGATAAGATCAGATTCAAATATTTTAGTCCATGTTAAAATATCCTTTTTTTAACCCAGTGGTAAGCATATGACAATTGCTAATTTATCTAATAATTCAAGAACCAATGTAACTTTTTTCATACCTTATATGTGATGCAACACCTACATTAGGTCAACAATTTCATTCACTAGATGATGCTCAAGCTTTATACAATGCATATGCATAGCCGCTCGGGTTCGGTACTGAAATAAAAATTCAACCGTTAAAAGAGCAGGAGATATAACATGGAGAGCGTTTACATGCTCCAAGGAAGGCTAGACAAGTTTGTCTTCAAAGAAGACAAATAAAATTGCAATGGAAAGAAACAGGGGCCAAACTAGGTGTGGGTGTCTTGCTAAGATGCATGTTTCCAGGAATCGACATAACAACTTGTGGATGGTGTCACGATTTGAGAAGACCCGTAATCATGAACTTGTAAGTCCTAGCAATACACATTTTATTCGATCTCACCGAAAAGTATCATCTTTAAATAAAGCATTGATGAATGAGTGGGGGGAATCAAATATTGAGACACATACTCAAATCAGGTTGTTAGAGAATGAAGCTGGAGGTCTATCTACGATGGGGTGCACAGAGACTGATATATATAATTATAATGCATCATTGAAGTCCAGATTTAATGGGGTTGATGTGAAAACAATGATTCATTGGTTTCAGACCGAAAAAACAAAAGAATTGTGACTTCTTATACAAATTTGAGATTGATAGTGAAAAGGTCCTTACTAGATGCTTCTGTGCTGATAGTAATAGTAGGAATTTGTACTTGTTTTTTGGCGAAGTAGTTGTATTCGATACGACGTTCAATACAAACAAGTACGACTTATATGTTGCTCCTATCATTGGTGTTAAGTTTTAACCATCACCGTCAAACTACTGTTTTTGGTTGTGGTTTGCTAAGGGATCAATCGAAAGAATCATTTTCTTGGCCGATATCAACATTCTTAGAAGCCATGGATCACAAGCCTCACCCGAAAGTCATTATAACATATCAAGATGCAGCTATCGCTAGAGAAGTGGCTAATGTATTGCCAAATGTGTCACACCATCACTGTTTATGGCACATACTAAAAAAAATCCTGAGAAGATGAATGTCTCTAGCTCACTATATAAAGAACTTCATGAAGAGTTGGTAAATATTATTATGAATTCACATAGCACACGTGATTTTGAGAAACCGTGGTCTTGGAAGCTTTTATTGCCAGAGTTGAATGAGAACACTTGGCTTGCTGAAATCTATGAAATTTGAACGAAATGGGTCCCTATTTTTGTGAAGCATATTTTTGTGCTGGAATGTTAAGTAGTCAGCGGGTTGAAAGCAACCATGTTTTTTTAAAAAGTATGTTAACAAGAAATGCACTATGAGTCAACGTGTGACATGTATTACTCGGGCTATTGTGAGACAAAGGCACCGAGAGCTTGTTGCTGATCATCGCGACCGAAATGAAGTTCCCCAGATAAACTCAAGTTATTTAATGGAACGTCATCAAATGGCGAGAACGTACACAAAGGCAATTTTTTGTAAGTTCCAGAAAGAATATGAGGAGTGTGCTCTGTATACTTGCCACCTGGTTTCTAGCTCAGCTGAAATTAAGGTCTATGATGTCAAAAGATGTGATCTGGATTCGACTTCTGCTCCTATGAAAAGGAAACTTACATATGACATATCTTTGGTTTTTGTTTCTTGTAGTTGTCAGAAGTTTGAATTTATGGGGATTCCTTGCTGACATATTCTCGTATGAATTCATTTGTCGGTAAAAAATTATGGGCAAGGAGGGTCAAACTAAGATTGCCAGCATTCGAAGTTGTTGACTCAGCATCCCTAACTGAAGAACGAAGCAACTATTTTGCAGGAGTTTTAAAGGAAGCTATGGATCACCTAGAACATATGGATGATGGGGGAGTTGATACAAGCCCACCATCGACATTGACAACCCAACCACTCCAAATTAATGTGAAATATCTGAAAATTTAAAAAATGAGAGGTTCTGGGTCACGTCTAAAACATCCATCCGAAAAAGCTAGACGTTGCAGAAAATGCAAGAAGACCGACCATAATGCCAGATCATGTCAAGGTTCTGAGCAAGAGAGGTGATAAACGGAATGTATTCAAAATTTTATATTTGATGATGCAAATGATTTATTACTTCAGATCATGTCCATATATTATTAATGCACAAAAACGCAGAGCACGAAATGTTCTAACATAGAGTAGAATCTAGAAGATGATTCATCCTTCAAATCATCAACATTTAGATGAGGAAGATACGATGGTCTGATTGGAATTTGTAGGACAAAAACAATGACCCAAAATATTACATTGTACTTTATTTAATATTTAATAAAATATGAAATCATTATATGGATTAGTATATTATTCATTTTTCATCATTTGTCCTTTAATGTAATTTCATGTTATCCGACACTTTCTCAACTCTTTTGCCAAACGGGTTTATTTAATCCAGTTAGCAATTCGGATTCAACACTTTAAATTTAGCTCCAAACAATAGTCTCTAATTCAGACATCCCCTAATTCAGACATCCCCTAATTCAGACATTAACCTCCAGCTTCAGTTCGTTGTGTCAAACATAGCCAAAGTAACCAAATACGGTGTATATACATTTCATCTCAAAACTTATTGTTTATTACTTGTAGATAGTACTACGTAGTACTATCGTATTTATGAGGGCACTCACTCCGTCCCTATATCATCTTCAAATTTTCATTTTTGGTTCATCCCAAAATTATTTCATCTTTACCTTTTTAGCAAAAAAATTGTAGTTCACAACAATCTTAACATTTTTAAACACGTCTCTCCTCTGCACAACCGTCCATTACAAAATTTTCACTATCTTAATTTGTGTGCCCAGTCAAAGGAATAGTTTTTATAGGGACGATTGGTGTATTATTTTATCCAAATCATAGTATATAGAAAATTCATATCAGAATATATTGTATCACTCTTTTTCGTACATGTGTTTTTTATATTCTCCATCCGTCCCATTTTACTTGTCCTACTTTCCTTTTTGGGTTGTCCCAAAATATGTGTCTCCTTTCCTTTTTTTGGAAAGAAATATGTGGCCTACCCAATTTTACTTAATTATACTCAAACCTCAACCATATCTTTTACTTTTTTCAATCACTTTATTAATAATCGTGTCGAGTCAAAGTGAGACACATAAAATAAGACGGAGATAGTATTTTTTTAGATCGGAATATATTTCATCCCAAATCATATATATCTTTTTTCGTACTTTTTCCTTTTATTTGTTACTCTTTCCATACTAATAATTTTTTCTCAACTTTTCTTTTTTATTTGTTCCCAGGGACGGCCCTGGGGGGGTGCAACAGGGGCGACCGTCCTAGGCCCAAGAAAATAGGGGGGAAAAATAGGTCCTAAAATATTTCTATGTATGTAGTATGAGTAGCCTTCTTTATTATTTTTTAAGCTCAATTAATTGTCTCAATGTTTAATTTTTAAAATAAATGTAAATTAACACGCCTCTCTTAATTCTCCTCAGATCTTTAAGTTTGATAATCTTTTTAATTACAAAAATACCAAGTTATGTTAGGCCTCTCAAGTCCAAAACTCCCAATTAGCAAAGCTAATCCAAATTGATCTGTTGTTTTCAATTCCAATATCAACAAGAGTAAAGAACGTTGCAAAGCGATGAGTATCTCAACGATTTGTTAAGAATTGAATTCAATCAATCGAGGAGCCCAAATTGCGGTCGGTGACAAAAAAACTTCTTCTTTCAAGACTTTAAATAATCCACCCGTGGTCAATAAATTATTCTTGATAAAATTGACGACTCAAGTTGGGATAAAGAGAGAAAAAGAGGAAGATTAGAAAAGACAATGTTAAGTTGTAAGGGATCAATGTAAATTTTTGTTTTTGTTAAGAAATTGAATCATGAAAATTTCATGAGAAACATTTGTAAGTGATGTTTTTCTTTTTATGTGATACTTGTATTACATTTCACCAAATATGTAATTTAAATAATAATAATAAAATGAGTTTCATTTTTATTTAAATGACCTTTATTAGATAATAATAATAATAATTATTATTATTATTATTATTATTATGATAATAAAATATAATTTCTTATTTGTCTTGAATATAAGCCCTAGATATTATCTCGCCTATAGGCCCGAAAATAGACAGGTCCGGCTCTGTTTGTTCCAACAACTTTATAAGTTTTGTAAAGTAATTAATTTATAAACAATTTTTTTGAGTATATTAATTTATAAACAATCTGTCCTTACACTTAATCCACTTTACAACAACAACATCAATAGAACCGGAGTCGAGAGCTTCTCTCTCTAAAATCTTCGGCGCTCTCTAGGGTTATGGCCGCTGGGGTTTCGAATTCCGGTTTCGTTTTTACAAAGATCGGTGCTTATTGGAGTTGGTGAAGGCGAACGAAGGCAGAGGACTGGGTTCTCGTTTCGGAAGTTTCGATCGCGGCTTGGTCTCGGCTGGGACTCAGGCGAACGGCCGGAGCAAGATTGAGGGCCAAAGTTCGTTAATGGTGGAGATCAAAAGGTCATGGACGAAGTGTGGGGCTAGGGACTGGATCAGATCTGGATCGGAGGCAAGGATCGGAAGATGATTTAGTATTGTTGGACCGTCCCCCTCCTGAGCCGCCGCCATGGAGTGCAGGAGAGTCTAGGGTTTGGAAGCAGTGTTTTAATTTTATTATTTGCTGGCTTTTTAATTTCCATGGTCAGACTGTTCTGTTTTACTTTTTTGTTTCCTTTGCTGTAAGACTCTTGCATTAGGTTTGAGGGATGGAAGTTCTGCGTTAAACCGTCATTGGTTTTAAGTCGCCCAAATTTGGTCTAGCGAGTTATACTGCTTTTGGACATGTGGTTAATTCTCAGTCTCGACCACGGACGGATGATTACATGTGATTCTTTTATGTTTCTGTACCTTTGCTAAATGCTATTTCTATGAATTAAGCCCTCTTCAAACAAAAAACAATCTCTCCTTAAGTTCACCTTCACAAATCTCAACTATTGTATGGAGTATATTTTATACTGTACTTTTTTTAATTTGACATTCAACCAGCAGGATAAAACTGTAATCACCTACCAGTACACGGCATTACTTACCGCCGCCGGTGTGTGCTACGGAGTGTATAATTCTCCCAATTTTAAATTATTTTCCTACATATTTTAATCTTTCTTCTTCTTCTTTTGAGGTGGTGGTTGAAATAAATACGTACAAGCAAATGGCGGAAATAACTACTCTGTATAAAGAAGCAACTATCCATCCACTTATCATCTTTCTCTATCTATCTAATAAAGCAACTACTTTGGGTTTTGTGCAGCTCTATATCCCATTTTCCCACTCTTCCTCCAATCCCAAATCTCATTTGCCTTCCTTTCCAGCGAGCGCCTACCACCCCCTTTCTCCGTGGAGGTGCGGTGTAGGTGCCCATACTTTCGATTCCGGGAATGGAAGGCTCCTCCGACGATCGGCTTGGATTTGGGAAGATGGGTTATGGGTATACTCCTCATTCTCCATCTGATTGTATGATTGTGTTGTTATTCAAGATTCGCGTATATTTTTTATTTTTAAGAAATCCCAGATTTGCATATTTTAACTGTTTGATTGATTTTTACATTTATGATGATTCTCGTATGGCTCTGTAGAAATGATTTTTCTTGATGGTTGTGGTTGTCCCTGATCTGATCAGAAAGTTTATTGATTTCATGATTTTATGAATAAATGCCACACATGTATTAATCTGTAGAATCTTTATATTCAACTCTGAACCTTTATCTTTATGCCTGCTGGATTGGACATTAATGTCCTTACCCTGAACTCGTGAAGTACTTAAAGCACAATGAGTCAATGATCAAGTTAAAAATTAATATCTTTTGCTCCCTCTGTTTCTCTAATTTAATTCATCTGTAACAATATTTTAAATTTAGACAGAAGTTATATCAAAAACCAAATCCCAATTTGATTTAGAATTAGTACTGAAAATTAAAGAACAAAAAGGAGTTGCTTTGAGTACATGAATTGTTAGCTCCCAAAGTTTAGCGGGGTGGAGAAGCACCTCTTTCCTTGAGTAATGGTGGGGATATAGTAGTAATTGTCTTACCTTTAAACTTTTCAGATGCCAGCACTATAGGAGAAGGTGCAGGATCAGAACACCTTGTTGCAATGAAGTCTATGACTGTCGGCACTGTCACAATGAAGCCACGGTATACCTTTTTATCCTTTTTTTTTACAATGTAAAATTGTTGTTTGTCTTCGACAGGGATGAAGATTATACTAAAATAGTAACATATAATCCTCTGGTATTTCCGTTTTTCAACCTTATATCCATGGAGATGTGTATTGATATTTCCATTGTCAATTCCACATAGGCTGCAAAAAATAAAATCAGATAAGTATTGACACATGAACATAAAAATTTCAGTTGTTATGTTATTATCGATTGATTTAATTGGTATTGATATTGAATTGTCTAAATCTTTTGGATATATCATGAAAATCCCAAGGAGAAAAATAGAAAATATCATCGTCATCATTATCATTACCGCAAAGGCTCCCACCTACGGTAGGGGAGTCGGATGTACGCAGTCTTACCCCTGTACTAAAGCACAGAGAGACTGTTTCCGGATGACCAATGGTGAAAATCTTTTCCAAAATTGCATAGATTGACTGCTACTTCATAACAAAGAAGCACAGACACTTTAGTGAGCCATTTTGCTTTATTCCATCATATTCTCAAGCCAAAAAATAATGAATCTTTTGCTCCATTGCAAATGATGGAAAACCCAAGGAGAAAATATGATCACAATAATTTTAAATATCATAAACGTGTGGTAGCTGTAAGTACCATAATTATTTCAAATCGATGCAGTTTTTCAAAAGCTGAATGGAATACTAATAAGTATTGAACTTGATATCAAGTTGGGTTATCATCACATTCACATAAAAGCTGAATGGAATACTAATAAGTATTGAACTTGATATTATTGTATAAATCAATTTTTAATATTATTATGTACTTGAAGAATCATTGTGACATATGTAGTACTCTGAATTTGAGGAAGCGGTCCAGCCAAGCTGGTCGCCGACTCACTCTCCCTTACGGGAGGTCTCGGGTTCGAAACTCAATGGAGTGAGTTTCAGTCTAGATTACTCCAGGCTCCCCCAGCCCCCCTCCCCCAGACACCCCCTACCCCCTGGAGTAGAAAAAAAATGTAGTACTCTGAATTTTACTTTCGATGTATATTAAGATGTTGTTTTCTTAAAACTTCAACTCAAGAATTAAAATTTAATAGATGCATTTTCTAAGACTTGATGTTTATTTTCCAAAGATTTAATAAAATATATACTTTATTACTCCCGTGTATTCTTTTGTTTGTACACTTTCCTTTTGGGGAAATATTTTTTGTTTGCTAAAATTTCTCTTTTTGTAAGTTTTCCCTTTAAAAATACTCAATTACCCTTACCTTTCTACTTTTCATATTCCCTTTCATACTTTTCCACCTTCTCTCATTCTTTTTCTACACTATTCACTACCCCTACTATTTTTCCGTTAAATATTGTGTCAAACCCTATTTTAGCAGAAAATAGAATACGGAGATAGTATTTTTTTTACCGATTTTGATTATCGATCGACATTTCCATAAAAGTGGAGGGTTGATATTTATGTTGATACTGATGTTTTTAACCTTGCTGTTGAGTTTATGATGAATATGTTTAATTATTTCAATATTAATTTGCTAGGGTTTTTTCGGAGTCGTAGCAATTTCTTCAGTTTCCATAAATTATTATCAGCCCGGTTTTGCAATTACACTAACCAAGTAACTACTATATGAATTAATGATGCTTTTTTGTTGAGTTTTTTGTTCATCATTTGAGTAATTATATTGATTGAGTGACCGCAAGTAGAGCAGATGGGAGTTTATAAATAATATGAGTACATACAATCAACATAACCATTAAAGGAAATAACAGTATGATCACAGAACAGAATAATGAATGACTACTACTTTTTTGAATAATTTACTTTTATTTTTCTCATCAGAGCATGTTGAGGAATCCTTTTGATAGGCATGAGCTGGATCGGCATGACGTGAAACAAGTATGTATCCTGAAACATTACTGACATTTATCTGTCCCCATATTGCGTATGAACGTGTTGCATCTAAACTTAATATTCCGTCTTTTTTCAGGTGATCTGTTTAGTTTGTGATACAGAGCAACCAGTATGCTTCTCTTGACTTTACCGTATATGTCTTCTTACTTTTGAGTAAGTTTGGTATATTCTTTGATTTTGTATGTGCATATGTTATGTGTTTATGCCTGTTGTCCAGGTGGCTCAAGTTTGCACTAACTGTGGTGTTAAAATGGGAGAATATTTTTGCAGTATTTGTAACTTCTTCGACGATGATGTAAGTGGCAAACATGACCTTATATTTTTTAAGAGTTGATGTAAATACTTATATAGTTCTATACACCTTATGTGCTTGCTGCAGACAGAGAAAGGGCATTTTCATTGTGATGATTGTGGAATATGCAGGTCAGTGAAAAAACAATTATATTGTTTATCTGGCAGAAAACTGATGTCATAGAGGTTTTACTGATATAAATTGTTTAACCATTCTTCTAGAGTTGGAGGCCTTGAAAACTTTTTTCACTGCACGAAATGTGGTATGTTACGCAGTTTTGCAATTATTGCTGAAATATGATGCTACTTGTTTAGTTGTTTTATGCTGACCTATGAATTTTGTCACAAACTTCACTGAACTTCTTCAGCTATCTCCTTTATTTCCTAACCAGCAATCCCACCTATGCTATTTATTTATCTCGATTGGTCAGATACCACATTTTTTAGAAATGCATTGGGGTGATAAATTAATCCAACAATTGTAATTACATAAAGATGTCTTCACTTAATACATTCTGCTTGCTACTATCCTCTTTATTATTCTCCTATATTGGTATAAGAAAGGCATTTTTTGGGACATAATATGTGTTAGGTGCATACATTTTATTAAGGGACAGATAAAAGGGGAACAAGCTAAGTTGGTCAATGAAGGCAGATAAATAGTGAAATAGGAACGGGGAAGTAACCCAATTACATGCATTGCTCATTATTTATTTAATTATTTAAGTTAAATATCTTGAATTGTATTGAACATATAGTGTTTTCTTAACAAGTGTGCTTCTGCAGGCTCTTGTTATGCAGTTAGTCTGCGTGACAACCATTGTTGTGTAGAGAATTCCATGCGGCATCACTGCCCGATATGTTACGAGGTATGTTTTGCAATTTTATCATCTATTTACTTCAACAACATCCAAGCCTTAATGCCAAAAGATTTTGGGGTCAGCTAAAACCTAATAAAAAAGGGACAAAATTTTGTCATCTATTTAGTAATGGACAAAATTAATTATTAAGTACGTAGTATATTATTTTTCTTCTATTTTTTTTCGAGGGTTTTTCTTCTAACTTTTGTATGCTTGAGTCTGACAGTACCTCTTCGACTCTCTGAAAGACACAACGGTTATGAAATGTGGGCACACAATGCATTACGAGTGCTTTTGTGAGATGATAAAGCGTGAGAAGTAATGTTTCTTATCTTCTGTTATTTATTATCGATATGAAGATGTAGCCATTCAGGCATACATTTAACTATGCATACAACCTTAAGGTAATTATTATGAGTTTATGACACTCAGGTATTGCTGCCCAATATGTTCCAAGTCAATCATCGACATGTCAACTATTTGGAAAGAAATGGATGAAGAGGTAATTTTCACAAACTTATGCATATAAACTTATGCATATTCTTTATTTTTGGGAAAATAAATGGTTAGCCACTGTTTTGTTAAGGTGCATTATTGATTTTAAGAACACTAAGAATTTGAATGATCATTCTTTCGATCTTACTCTAAGAGCCTTGTCTATTACCCTAATATATGTTGCTTGAAAGAGGCTTGTAATTTGTACCCCTTCCCCTGGCACCCACTGGAGAAAAACTTGCAACATATGGGCTATGGCTGTGTCTGATGTCTATTCTGGTCTCCAAGCTGAACCTGTGTGTGGTCACCCTTCCGTAATTGGTCCAAGCCAAGACTCACATTTTAATTCTTAAATTCATTTTCCATGTTTATATTGCTTTCTTTGATTGATTTTCTCCGCCCAATGACCCATACTAAGAAATATATTCATGGAGTGCCATATCGTGAATCCATTTTTGTAATTTGTTTCACTTGGACAGTATGATGTGATTTCATTACTTTTTCTGATTAACTACGACTGCTGTTGTGGTGCTGTACAGATTGAGAATACCGCCATGCCTGAAGATTATAGAGATCGAAAGGTATCTTGTGTTTCCGACTTCTTAAAAAGCTCCCTATTCAAGATCTAGGGAATCCCCACATTATTTCCTTATTCCTTCCCATTGTAGTGGTCTAGATACATGTTAAGTCATTCCATTGTAGTGGTACAGATTGAGAATACTGCGTACATTTTTAGTATGATGACGCTAAAAGGTTTAAATCGGTACCAAAATATATTAAGCTCAAAGACTGAAACAAGCAATTCATAGTGTCCTTAAAAACGTGAGGACTACAGACTCCAATATTGGACTCCTCCATGAGCAATTATCTTCTTTGACATGTTAAACCATCTCACATCTACCAAATATGTAAATACATACTCCGTATAAAATATCAAAATAAAAGCCTTTACGCTATTATCCCAATCATGTGGTTCGTTACAGATGCAACTTACTGTCTCCCCTGCCCCAATTTATATAAAACTTTTCCAGATTGCGAAATTGAAGTCATTTGGTGGCAGGTTTGGATTTTGTGCAATGACTGCAACGACACTACAGAAGTATTCTTCCATATAATAGGGCAGAAGTGTTGCCACTGTCGATCATACAATACTCGTACAATTGCTCCTCCCGTGCTTCCGGAACAGTAACATTGTTTGGCAGCTCAATTGTGAATTTTGACATCTCCTGGTGCCCATTGATGTAAAATTTGAACCCATGAAAGGAAAAAATGTTTTTGAACCCATAAAAGAATGTATTTTTGGTTTGGACCTGAGTTAACACGCATTGCATGTAACATTCATCTTAATTAGCTGCAGTAATTTGAGCTTCACTAGCATTGTAATATGTATCTTTTTCTCAGGATCATGTGGGGCAAAATTGATCGCATTACTTTTGGGTTGTGGTGGAGTGGCTTGAAATAAAACTATGAACTCATTACTCATTACTCAAACTATTTTTTCTTTAATGGAAATCGCCTGGATATAAATTATAAATAAATAATCATGATCCTTACACCAGGCTCAAAATCAATGATTTTTTTTACTAGACTCTTGATAACTTGGTCTTCTCAAGTTTCGCAAATTGTTTTTATGTGAGCTAATTGTTTTGCAAATCATGTGGGTGCTTTGAAGATTAATCTAGTTTTAGGAGCCTTAATACCTCTAACCATAAAAAAACTCTTTCAATATTGATAATTGAGATGCACAGCCACACGGCCACAAGGCCCACAACCCAACATTCAAAACAAAAAACAAACTCGGGAAACAATATGCATTAAAACTAAAATAAAATGAAGCTAATAGACAAAAATCTTCTTTGATTGCTGGCTTGTCTCCAATTCCTTGACAGCCAATAGCCTTGTATGTTTTGGAACACTTAACTCGATATATATTCAAGATATTAAATTAAGATGTTTTTTCCTTGCATTAACAACTTATATTAAATCATTTGCATTGCATCCTCGCATAATACTGGCTAGACCTTTGCCTCCATCTCCACCAAACCTAGCTTTGGCCTTGCAGGAGTTGCAGCTATTGTACAAGAGAACCAACCGGCAACTCTCCAGCAAATTAAAAAACGAAAGTCTAAGCCGGCATCACATCCGATCAAGTCGGTTACCCAGAAGTCCAGAACTCCATGAGCTTGAATGACCAGAACCTGCCTCAACCCCCACACCTCTAGCAGCCTGAATCGACCCTCTCTGCAGACGATCCGAGAAGGAGAAGCCCGAAAATAGTCTAGGCATACGTGCAAAAAAGAGACTCTCGTGTTCGAACTGTAGCCCCCCCATCCATTCGAAACGCCATTCCAAACTATCGAGCAACAAAGCGATGCTATAGTTCCTAGCATAGTACTAGTATAGTACCCGTGCGATGCACGGGATATTAAATTTCTCATATTATAAGTTACTAATATTCTTTATCAAGTAAAAAAGGATGCTATACATTAAAATATTAGACAAATTACCAGGCATACATTATTCTCGCCTACAGCAGCCTTAAATAAAAAAAGAAACACTTTAATATTTGAATTCAAATGAGTATCTTTTCTAATTCATTAGGAAATATTGTTATCCATGTATCTGCCCCCAATTAAAAAAAATATATGCCCCCATTATCCATCCAGCCTAGTCACGCATTCAATTTAATAACCTAATCCCAAAATCCGAACTACAAAACGAAGTACTTTTCAGTCTTCACTTTTTCAGCATTTCTAATTGGGAAGTTTAAATCTTCCAGTCTACTAAGTGTTACAGAGTACCTATTTGACTATTATATAACTTGTACTATCTATTTGTATAATTTGTCATTTGTGTGTTGTTTAAGTCTAAAGTGTAGATTTAACCATCAAGCTTTCTGCAGTTTTTATGTGGTTTAGATATGATAAATAAACAATAATATTTATCCTAATTTTGTAAAAAGGTTAGTTAAGACTTAACAATTAGTACGTAATATTTAAAAGTAGCTATAACTAGTATTGGGACTTAAAAATTAAGATATCTAACCACGTAAAATATATTTAATATTAGTTAACAAAATATTAAATAAACTTTTATATCAGAATTTATGGGCAGAATTTTTAAGTTCTGGTCTCTCTAAAATGAGAAATTCTACAAGGGTCCCAAAAGCACAACCATTTTCTTAACTGCACTAATGATGGCGAAGGAATCTGCACAATTATTGTTAAAGTAATGCATTTATGGTTTACTAGAATTTTTACCCGTGCGTTGCACGGGCTGCAATTCGTAGGCATTAAATTATTTCAAAAGATATGTGAGTTTCAATATAAGATTAAGGTCATTAAACTTCAAAAAAAATCTTCTCTTTGACCAATGATTTAATCCTGTATAATTTCTTCACTCAAGTAAGATAAGTACATTCATGAAATTTGGAATAAGATTATGTAAGAGTTTTTACCATTTATTTGGAATAGTTTACATTTTTTACCATTTATTTGGAATAGTTTAGTATTTCACCAGTGTACTGCACAATGTAATATGCAAATATTATACTATCGTAAATGTTAATAATTAAAGTATATATAGACATGTACATAAATTTGCAACATTATTGTTTACACACATGAGAGAAATTAAAAAAACAAATATTAGAAGTTTAATAACAACACACATTATAAATTGTAGAAAACCTCATTTTAGAAAACATTTTTGAATTATTTCGCCAACTTCCATCATTGCACATCACAAAATTTAAATCAAACGCACTTCTCACCCTCGCAAGTCGCAACTACAACTTGCAGTTATTCATGTGTAAAATTAGGACTGCGCGATTAATCACTCACAATTTCAAAAAATGTCCATCTTATCAATAGTAACCATTGGTTAACCATATAAAAAGTGGAGAGGTATCATCATTAAAACATATCATAAACAATTTAAAAACTGAACGCCTATGCACATAAAATTGTCGCCCAATGTAATTCATTGCCACGAATTCGTAATTCGTAAAGTAAAGGAATAGTAGAGGGTTTCACACTCAAAATCAATTAATGGAGAGCAACATAAATTAATTTAATCAAACCAATATGAACATAAGTACTTTTACGTTTCATCTAGCCAATGCCCAATAGGACCTATTCAAAAGCTACGGGCACTTGGATCAGTTGGATGGTTTGAATAGACAATTACAATAATAACAACCAAACCTTAATCCCAAAATAGTTTTGTGTCAATTAACATGACTGTTAAGATAGAAAGATAAAGAATATAAGAAAGATACAAAGATCAAAAATATGAAATGACATCAATTCTTCATATGAATATCCTTCATCCACTCAGCCCACTCTTTAGCCTGTGCTCTTTCCAAATTCATATGTTTGAATAGACCGCTAAGCCCAAAAACATTGCATCTTCACCTGTAAACCTTTAACCTAAGATTCAGCATTGACGTTATTATTTAGATCATGAATGCTAATATTTTTTCTCTGGCACCAGAGATGTCACAAACCGCAACTAACTTACCACCTTTTTCATTTTAGAGGAGAGGCATGTACATGTATGTTCCTAGTTTTGTGAGCCTCTGTTATTTTTGTATCAAACAGACATTGATGGGGTTTTGGATTAACTCCGGGTTTAATAAAAAAATATCAAACAGCCTTGTTTATTTAGTTATGTTCAAGAGAACACACTGCATATTTATTACCTGTATATGTTCTTCCCATTATTTATGCACCTATAGGTCTGTGATTATTACCTTTTCAGCTTTTTTTACTAATTCGACAATTCATAAATCAAGTGTTTTTCTTCGAATCATCACAACTCACTTCCTTGACAGGCACCTTGTTTGCTGCAAAAACGGTAGGAAGAACTGCAAAAAAGAAGAAGTTATATTCATGTGTACGTAGTATGTAATAATAATAAAATAATAACATATTGGAAACTAAAGACATTAAATTACATAGATATAAGAGGGCATTTTGGGATATAAAAATATTTCCTACTATTATGAATTATCTAAATAAGTTAAGAAATTACCATGAATTGGTTTGGAGGGATAATCTGAATAATAATTCTAAATTTAAAAAGTAATAACCTGAAAAATATTTCCCACCATTATAAATTTTCAAATAAAGCAGTACTTCATCTAAATTTAATGTGCTGTTGAGAAACTTTAAAACAGGCAGAATATTATTTAATTTAAGGCACATATGGCGTGTAAGTTAGAGAAAAATATACATTATGTAATTTAGTAAACTGCGAACATCTCAGACTCTTGAAGTCTCACCAGTCACCCCGATCCAAAATTAATGACTTTGAAATTCATACCAATAATTTTATAACACATAATTAGAACAATCTACACCATCCATTTCAGCCTTCGTTGGTTCCTTTCAAGAAAAAATATCATTGGTTCCAAATAATTATCTAACTAATAACCGAATAATAATGTCTTAATGCAAATACATAAATTCATTTTAAATAATTGAACCCAATTGAGTTAGTGAGTCTTGATCCAAAATTTTATGAGCTTAATTTTTTCTCTTTAGTGACGGTCTAATCCAAACTTTCCATCAATGCAATGTGGAAAACTATTTGCTTAATGAGCCTGGGTTACTCAATCCTAGGAAGTACATAACAGCTTCAACAGAAAAGCCTATGAAAAATGTTAACCAATGGAACGAAGATGAGATGGTTTCAGAGCTCAGGGTAGCACACATATATTTCTTATCCCAGTATTCAACTATGTATATGTTCAAAGTTCAAACTGAAAATGTTTTCTCAATCAGTGATGCTTCATACAGTTCATTAGAAGGAAATATATGTTTGAGAGTAAAGAAGGTGATAGTTAATTAGAAGGAAAAAAAAAGTTTAACATGACCTGTAGTTGCCTTCTTCCATGTATACCACGGAATTAAAGGTTGAAGACTGATGAAGCTTTTCACCATTGTAGCTACCTTCTACTGGTTGTATTCTTGATTCATTGCCTTCACTACCTGATGCAAAAATAACACTCAAATAAGTTAGTAGAGCACTGGGCATTTGTCTTTGGGCATTTGTCTTTGTGGCTAAGCAGTCATAGCTTCTACTTTGAAATTAGAACACAAATAATTCATTCCTTTTCAAAAATAAGCACTATCAGACTAAAGAAGTAAGAATGGAATATGATGTGACATTTAAATGAATGGCAGGATGATCTACCTTCTGCATAACCATATATACTATTCAATTGTACCAATCTACTTAAAGTCTCATTGTTTCTACTAAGAATGACATTAAACTCTCCTTCAAATTAAGCATCTTGAGTCTGGGTCACTGGGATCCAACACTTATTATATACGCATTGAAAATAGGGCCCAAGTCTAGCATATAAAATATATTAATAGGTAGAAATTTGAAAGACTAAGTTCAGCCATGAACCCAACCTATTCACAGACTTAAAGTTGAGTTAGGTAAAAGGCTGAAGTCGGATTGTTTTGAATCACTTACCTATCTGAACAACTTTATCAACGATTTGATAGTGCAAGAGTAAGATAATTCATTTAATGAATCTGAACAAATCTTTTATACTCCTCGACATTGCCTTTCCTTCTAAGTTCATCTATAATTAATCCCCCCTACTTTCTCCCTGCCATATTCTGACTGACAAAAGTACCCCATACAAATAGAGATTTAAGCAATGAAAGAGAGAAAGCTAAGTACAGGTGATAGATTTTTCTCTAAGCCGTTCTTCCAGGGATTTCATTCCTCCCAGCCAAAGAATTGAATGAGTTATCCTCAAAAGTTATTTGGAAAATCAGAAAATGAAGTGAAGTTGAATGAGACGGCATTTTGTTAGTAATGCGGAGAACTACATAATGAAAGTTTTTAACTTTGAGTAAAATCCTTTGATTTAGTTTTATTGTGGTGAACTACATATGTAGATTTCAAATATGATGACTTGAATGATCTGCCTCAGGGTCCCCTACCCCTCTGTGCTAGGACACATGAACAAAAGAAAATGAGAGCAAAAGAAGCATAAATTAAGTACCAGAACAGAAACTTGGTGCTACCTCAGCCCTGCAAAGCAGCAAAATGATGTACTCCATAAGTTTCAGAAATATGGAAATGAAAATCACTTTATCTCTCAACCAAGTATGTTGATATATAATTTTTTCAAAAATAAGTTTAAGGATATTTGTGATTATTAACTTGACCATCCATAACCCTTATGGCACAAAACATATCTAGCTGAATTGAATTCTGGCTATTTAAATGATGTGTGTTTTCTCGCACTTAAAATGATGTAGTAAAATGGTGTAAAGTACGAGTATCGTCTCCACAGGGACGGACAAAAGGGAAATAAAGATTAACTAAACTTTAGCGATTAAAAAGAAATAAATAAAATAAAAAAATGCAATTGTGCGAGATTGGTTGATTGATTGAAATAAAACTAATGCTAATGAGCGAATAAAAAGATTTGGTTTTCCTTAATTAACGACGAAGGGAACAGGAATTGATTCCGGGGTTAACCAGATTTCTGGCAGAACAGGCCTAATCACATGAATTTAATTTAATTGAACCTAGCTAATCATTACTAAGTTCTTACCGCTCTCGCGGCGTAGAGTACAATAATTTAGGGGACCAGGCTGATCTCTCATGCAACAAGATCCTAAATTATTGCCAAAACGAGCGAGCTTACGGCCCCTTAATCGCTACTAATCTCTTAGCGAACGATTAAGTGTGTGTGAATGTGTCCTAGAACAAATTAGATCTCTCTTAATTTATTCTACATGCAATTGTAATTCTAGCTGCAGTCTAGGTTACAAGAGATATCAATTAAATTATTCAAACACAAATTAAACGGCATTCATGCAATTAAACCGACAAGAATCTAACCATACATCATGATTAACCCCTTCATCAATCCCAAATCCCTAATTAATCTACTCACAATTCATAATTGAAGAATCAACAGAATTGGGATGAATAGAAATAATTGTCATTAATTAAAGAATTGAACTTACAAAGAATCCCAGGTTCTTGGATTAAACAACGTAAAAACGCAGGTAAAACTCGTCCCTAGGCCTCTCTCCAAAGTTCGTAACCCCAAATCGGGGTTATGGAGGCCTTATTTATAGAAAACAGTGAATTCGGGTCGAATTAGGACAAATCGCGGCCAGGCACGGTGCCAGGCACGATCGTGCCTGCGACCGTGCCTGCGGAAGAAACGCGCAAAAAATATGCAGACACGATCGTGCCTGCGCCGGACACGATCGTGTCTGGCTGCCAGATGCTTCACGTTGATTCAGATGGCAGGCACGATCGTGCCTGGCCTAGGCACGGCCGTGCCTAGCCATTTCTTCATTGTTTTTCTTCGTTTCTCATTCCGAATGCTCCCGAATGCCTACGACGTCGATCCAAGTGCTCTTTCTTCACCAGAATTTCGTCGTGAATCTCCCGGTGGCCTCCAAATCTTCCAAATCTCTCTCGAATGCCTTCAAACCCTTCCCGAATGCCTCTCAAGCGCCGATTGCCGGACTCTAACTTCTTCAAATCAACTCCAAATGCTATGAAACTCGATCCAACGCCTGTTAAACACAACTTGAGCCAAAATTGAGACTTGCAACGCCTTAAAGCCAGGAAAATCATCAAAATCCGACCTGAACACGCATCAAATGCGTGTCTAAATACGGACTTATCAGACTCCCCCACACTTAAGCTTTTGCTTGTCCTCAAGCAAATCGAACAACGGGACTTACGATAATCACCACACGGAATTTAAAACAGTTAGCATACATACGTAGTTAAAGGGATATTCACAGGACAGACAATTCAAATCAAGAAAATTCTTCCCTAAACTACACCTTTGTACTCAAGCTAAACTATTTGACACGATTATTCACAACATCCTCAAAGTAATGACAGCATTCACTAATAAGCTAGCTACTGATCAGAAGGACTTGTGAATTTGATGGTGAATGGATAATAATGAAAGTAGTCCCTTTATCTTGAGAGATAGGAATATTCTAACAAAGACTTAATGTATTTAGGAACTTCAGGGCTATTTTTGGGAATAGGGAACTCAGTAGGCCACAAATTAGGAACAATCATTTACGCCTATGCAAAGAGTAGACATGGTGTACAACTAAGCTAAACCGTCTCGGCACTTTTGTGCTTTGACGTATACTTGAAGTACGCGGAGGACTAAAGCTAGTTTTTCAATAGCCTCCAAGTTCATTGATTAAGTTTAATTTTCCTTGTCATGTTGGCACGAGAACGCCGTTTCTTTCGAAAGATACCCAAGTCTCATCTTACGCTTTTTGACCGGGGCTCCCATTCTCTTTTTCGTAAGGCAAGAGGTCTAGCTATATTAATTTTTCACCTTTCGGATTCTCACTAGACATTACCCCATTCTAATCTCGGCCTCACCAGGGAAAAATAGCAATTAAGGTTCATTAATTTCAAAGTGAATCCATGCCCACAATGCAATCCTCGAAAGTATCAAATTCCTAAAAAGTGACTGCTCTTACCCCATTTGGGGCATAGGAACAGTGCCAAAATTGGCTCCTACACAAATTCCCTAAACTTAGCAAATTAATCCCCTAGTTCCCTAAACATCAAGAGTAAGCCAGAAATATTCACGGGTAAGGAAACAGGCCATTTGGCAATGGAGCTAAATTAATTGGGTAAACAAAGAACGGTCAGGCTCAAAATGGCTTCTCCTAAAGGGTCTTATTCAGGTGGGGTGGACGACTAATGGATTAATTCAATGGGTAACTAATGCCTTCATCCTTTCAACAACTAGATTATAGTGCAAGCAAATTAAGCCTAAACACTTCAAAGATGTTCTAAAAGCATAGTCAAAACGCTAGCCAGCTCACAAAGACACAGTTTAAAGAAAAATTTTCAAAAATTTTGCATGAATTTCCTATGAATATACAACTAACACCTGCGCATGCTAACTCTAACAAATCACATGTGACAACTACTGCCCGAATGCCCAATTCACTCCCCCACACTAAAACTTTGGCATCGTCCTCGATGACCAAATATGCATTATGTACTAGGGGTAAAGAGGAAAGGGTCACGCGTGCTCAAAATTAACTCAAGTTAACATTACGCATCAAGTTCAAAGAATCATGAAAACTCCCCTATGGCGTTGGTCAGTCAGGAACAGAACTGAGTCTTGATTCGCACGAACACATTCATCCACTAAGCTGCAACAAATCATGAACACCAAGCAAAGCACAAAATAAAGAGTTAATGTAAAAGAGTGAGAGTGTGAGTGTGATAGTGTTTACGGTACAGTCATCCAACAGTAAAAATGATACAGATGCTAGCAGAGGACAGTCTAAATAACATCTAATACTCGGGAGGGGGTGGAGGTGGGTAGGCATCGAAGAATAAACTCCAGCTAGTTTCCATAGAGGTGAGTCTCTCGTCAATCCGGGTATACTGAGACTGGAGCTGTGAATAGTGGAGTGCCTGGTCCTCCCTCATCTCTCTGTAAAAGTCCTGCTGCTCGAAGCGCATCTGATCGAACCGCTCATGCTGCTCAGCGGACAACTGCCGATAGACGGCATCCTGATGCGCATGCATCCCCGCCCAAGAATCCGGAAAAGCTGTGCCGTAGGGGGGTGCATCATATGAAGCCTCGTGAGCAGCCTCCTCCATCTCTACCTCATCATCATCATCAACGTCATCATCATCATCATCATCATCATCAGCTCGCTGTCCTCCTCCTCCTGCTGGTGCTGCCGGCTGTGCCCTCCTCCTCGCCACGCCAGTGTTGACCTCGGGAAGCCGGGTCAATGCAGCAAAACTGGAGCTCTCCTCCATCCTCTGAAAGCGGTCCCCGAACCCCATCCTAGTCAACAGTCTCGTAATGAATGGGCCAACATATATGGCCTTGATGTGGTTCGTGGCTTGGCGGTGGAGGAGTTTGGCTATGAGATAGCCCATGTGGGGCTTGCAGTTGTGGATCATACAATATAAGCAAAAGAGGTCCGTCTGAGTGACCTTACCGGCAACCTCGGCTTTGCCGGTGATGGTGGAGGAAAGGAGTGCGTGTATAATGCGGTACTGGCGGGGGTAAAGTAGGGTGCTAGGGGACTTCTTCGGTGTGTAGGTCCCGCCATCTCTCGTAATCGACTCCCAGAATGCCTGGCGGTCGACGCCTGGGGGAAAGTCTGTCAAAGTAGCCTCGTGCTGGCCGTTATCCTCGATCCCCATAAAACCCAAATGATAGCGCACCTCCGCCATGGAGATGGCATGATCCTCCTCGAATGCCCGGAACTTGATGACGGGCCTATGGTTGTCATCAATGGGGATGACCTTCGGCATCTTGAATGTCGCTAGCACCTCGCAAGTAATCTCTCTATATGTGATATCACGGATCCCAAAGAATAAGTGTCTCCACCACCCCCGTCTCAAAAGGAACATCACGTCATCTCTCGCTCCTGCTGCCGTGAGAGAGTCCTCATCCGGAAAGTAGAATGTGCCCATAGGCTTTTGCAGCAGCTCCGTATGCTTTAGTTCGTCCCGCAGTTGCGGGAACCTGGGCTGGTACCGGCTGGTGTTGCCCCGGCTAGAGCCGGCACCTCCACCTCTAGTATGCTTCTGCCTTGGTGCCATCTGTCAAAACAAATCAGAACAAGAATTCCAACGGGGCTTCCAAATGTTAGAACAAATTTTCAAAGTACAGCAATGGCCCCGTCAGCACTTACTCAGGCAAAAATATCATCTTAGTAGAACAAACCCAAGTTTAACCAGAATAATTGAAAAGTTTGAATTTTTATCAAAGAAAAGTTCTTTGAATAAAAGTTCAAATTTTCAACGACACACGGTATAAACAAGGTCACCAGAAAGCGTATTCATCACAAGCACAAAAGAATTAGAGAGATAATTTAAGTAGGGAAGAACTCAATTCTCAATTTAGACAAAGTTTGGCCTAAAATTGGGGATTTATGCTCAAATGGACTAAACAACAAGGTTTCAATACCAAAAGCAATAATTCACTCCTTAATTTAAGCATCAAGCACAAAAAAAATCCCCAAATTTTTCTCACATTCATCAATTTTCAACCCTAAATTGGCTAAATTAGCTCAAAAATTAGGGATTTCAATCAAAAGAGGCAAATTCATCAACAAAGAGCATCAATAACATCAATTCAAGCCTCAATTAATCACAAAGAAATCACAATTACAAAGATTCGAGCACATGCAAATTAGGACCTAAAAGCTTCAAACCATTAATGGAGGAAGAAGAGGGATAAAGGAAGAGAAGAGAGTTACCTTTGGTGAGAAGAGAGAGAAGAACGGCGAGTGGGGCTCGGTGGTGCGGCGGTCGCGGCGGACGCGGCGGTCGCGGTGGTGGG